CCCCCCCCCCCTCACTGCTCCTTTGCTGGCGCGCCTCACCTGCGTCGCTTCATTGCCTCATCCGTGGCGCCTTATCGCCGTCTTCTCCTTCCACCTCACTGCTCCTTTGCTGGCGCGCCTCACTTGGGTTGCTTCATTGCCTCATCCGCGGCGCTGGATCGTCGTCTCCTCCTTCCACCTCACTGCTCCCTTGCTGACACGCCTCACTTGCGTCGCTTCATTGCCTCACCTGCGGCGTTTCATCGTCCTGTCTTCACTGTTTCCATGCTGACCCGCAATTCGTCGCTCTATGTAGCTCAAACTTCAATCCAACATGACTTCACCGTTCAACAATCCGGGGAATCCCCCCAATACCACTCATACCAACCCCAATACCACCAATACCAACCCCAAGAACACCAATACCAACCCCAAGAACACCAACACCAACACCAACCCCACACGATCATACGATCTAGCCGAAGAAACGCGGTAAGTAACATTCTCTTCTATGGCTGCACATACTGACAACTCTCAAGGATCTGGAAAAACCGCTGCCTCATTTGCGGAGGGAACCGTCACGGCCATTGGCGACAGTGTGACAAAGAATGCCTCCACTGTAGGGAAAATCTTGGCATTGTTGGAGCCAATCGACACCGAGGCCAACCGTGCCCGAACCTTCCATTCAAGAGTCGATGGTGGAGAGACCTTGGTGGCGCCCAGATTGGCGAAACCAACTATAACAAGGGAAAGATTGCAACCCTTGAAGTACGGCTCAAGCAGTCCGAGGAAGAGAAAGCAGAGAGGGACAATGAAGTGCTACGGTTGCAATCAATTAATCACAATACGCAGCAACGCCTCGAATCAGTGCTTCGCCAAAAGGACGAATCTTTGCAACAGAATAAAGACCTCAAAGCCGCGTTCCAGCACTCTGCAAGCACGGTCCAACTTCAACAGGAACAAATTGAAGTTCTATTAGCCAAAAACGAAGATCTAGAGGCAAGATACAATGCTGTCATAAGTGGACAGATGGAAACCACAGAGAGATTGGGCGCACCGCAACGGACCGAACATCTGGAGAGGCCGTCACGCACACACTCAAGGCATGACCGCTCACGCTACGGCGGAAGAGATGATTCTGTCGAGGATGAGAGACGATCTCACCGTCGTCATCGGAGCCGCTCTCACCATCGTCATCGGAGCCACTCTCGCTATCGTCATCGCCGCTCTCGATCCCCAATCTCCTACGGAGGACACTACGACAGATACCGGAGTCCCAGCCGCCGGGGCCGCTCCATCAGTCCTGACGACTATCGCGCCCACGCGCGTAGGTCTCCCGAGTTTGAGTCTTACCGTGCGCGCCCGGGACAGCGAGACATCTCTGACACTTCAATGCCGCCTTCATCCCACTCAAGAGTGTACTTGCCCTTCCGCTCCTTGAGAGATCCATTCAGCAGTGAGCTGGAGCGCAGGTCTACTCGAGAGTAACGCCCCCACTCCACTCCGGAACCATTCAGCAGAAGTGAAGCCTGCCCATTGTGGGATCTGCCTTTTGAGGGACTCGCCCATTGTGGGACCTGCCTTTTGAGGGACTCATTACAGATAGTTTAGATAGCGCAAGTACGAGTCAAGGCTACTCTTAAAGCCTGGGCGGGTGGGATACCCAGAACCGCACAAGCGGCTGGGGGTCTAATCTACTTCTTCTTCTCCTCCTCCTCATTCTTCTTCATCTTTTCTGTACTCATCTAACGCTGCGTCGATGCCGGTGACGTAGTATGTAACCGTCGTTGGGTCACGCGAAGATGGTGCTGCTGGTGAAAGTATAGTCTCAACACCATGCCAAGGATCGTGATTCAATTAGCTAGCTATACTGGTATCAAGTCAACGTAAACCCCCGCCAAGGCTTGGCATGGCAAATGACTACTTAGAAGCTTGCAACTCGGCACTTCGAAACGCTTGAATTGCTTGAATTGATTCACTGGGAGCCTTGAAAGGAGTTCCAATCTAAGATGACTCAGGAGGGATTTATCGAGCGGACTTAGAAGGGCGGAACTTTGTAGTACTAAGGACAAGCAAAGCATGGTGCGTCTGAGCCTGAGCCTGCCTCGGGTGATCTGCCATCACTTCCTTGTTGAAGGTGAGTGAAAACACACCAGCCCATTTGACCAGCGACCACCGGCAGCACCCCGGCACATGACCGGCGGGCGCAGCGGTCGATCGGGCGTCCATAATATCTTGCGCAGGCCCCCGACCCTTGAACTTTCTTCTCTTCTTCTTCATCCTCCTCAACCTCATCCTCGACCTTATCCTCAACCTCCTCCTTCCCCCACCACAGCGGTATGTCCACCCACTGTTCTTTTGCTGACCCGCTTCTGACTGCTTGTTTAGGATCTCGCCCGCTGCCCTCGTGGGACCTTTTGACATGACTCCACCTTCTAGCCTTCCAACCCTTTGGTGGGGTCTGCCCTTGTGGGACCACTGACCAATGCCTACTTTGCAGGCAGCTTTTTGGACACCGGATCGCGGCCAACACTGACTCCACCTCTCAGCCTCCCCTCCCCCCTCCCCCCTCTCCAACTTTCCAACCCTCTGGTGAAGTCAGCCCTTGTGGGACCCTTGGTCAATGCCTACTCTGCAGGCAGCTCTTCTGAGGACCTTTACATAGCACTGCTACGAGTCAAGGCTACTCTGAAGCCTGGGCGGGTGGGATTCCCAGCATTGCACAAGCAACTGGGGGTTTAATCAATCTACTTCTTCTTCTACTTCTTTCGCTTCTTCTCATCTCTTGCCCGCTTCTGTGTGTCAGTGATTGCAATAACCGTGACCAACCCCAAGTGCACACCAGCTCCCGGCCATCCAATGCGTCTAACCTCACATCAGAACACAGCGTCGAGCTAGCAATCCAGCGGAGCCTTCGCAAGTTCAACTTTCCTTTGTGAATGGTAATCGCTTAGCACCTGAACCAGATCACTTTGGCAAGCCGCGTGTAGCTCACGTCAAAGACCACCCATCTCCACAGTATATGACCGACCATGATGTAGTACCAACGAGGAGAGCTAATGATGGCCATCTACACATGGTCTTCACGATGCTAAGCAGCAACAATCTTAGAAAAAGTGTGCCCGTTCAAAACTTACGTCGACGACTCACGGGTTGCGAAAGTGTTCATCTCCCCATCCCAACCGGGACGCAGTGCTCGCTTGAAGGATGATGTGCTGCACCTCTTCAGCACCATTGAGAAATGCTGGAGTGCAGCAGCGAGTTGCGATCATGAGGCCGGTCATCATGAGGCGAGGATGATGATGATGAGATGATGATCAAGGAAAATAAGTCGCACCGTTTCACGACGAGTCGCGGAGTTGGCAATAAGAGGAGAAGGAGGAGAAGACCACCAGTGTGTCCTTTTAATTTTTCCGTTGGAGAATGTCCAACGGATGTTGTGTCTGGAGGGAAAAAGAAGTACGTAGTGGGCCGGGGGGTCTTATATGTTTCCCATATCTACCAAAAAGGCTTGTGACCGGCATGATGCACGCTACCTACTCCACGTGGTAGCTGACGCACGTTGCCGGACGCAGACGCAGACGCAGATTGTGAAAAGTATGCAAACGACATCCTGATGCGGTCTTCAACTCCCCACATAAAGAGCGGTAAAAAAAATAAAAAGAATAAACACCCTTGAAGCATGTACGTCGAGATCTGGGAAGAGTTTGGACTCTCGTAACCAATTCGTCTTCTCATATGCATTTCCCCCCGTTTCTGTACATCTCAGAGAAGAAAGACTCCACATATACATGCATATATTTGCCCGCTTCCAGAACTCCATGCTCAGAAAGACCATCCAAGACTTTTCTTTTCACGTTTAAGAATTCAAATAACCACCCATCTATCCCCGAGATATTCAACGTGACCATCAAGCCGGGACATCCTTTGCGCTCGCGCTCGCACTCGCACTTCCACTGCTCTTTCTCCCCTCTTCACCCACATCCCCCTCCAACGACCTCTTCTCCACGTCCACCGTCCCGGCCGTCCCCACCGTCGTGCCCGTCAGCCCCGTCATCCCCGTCTTGGCCGTGGCGCGGGACTCCAGCAGACCCTTCCGGCCATTGCTCGCCGAGCTCTTCAGCACCCTCCTCTTCTCCTCGTCCGCCTCGACGCCGGCCTTCTGGTCCGCATGGCTCTTCGCGAGCGTCTTGCTCTTGATCAAGAAGCTCACGAGCAGCCCCAGGCCCGCAAAACACACGTACACGATCCACATCTGCGACAGGCTGTCGGCAAACGCCTCTCGCGCGACCTCACGCTGCCTGGCCGGCAGGGTGTTCACGATTTCGGAATTGGCCCCCGCGGAGCCGCCGGCGAGCTGGCTCGCGAGCGCGGGGCCGAGAGACTGCGTCAGCTCCCCCTGGTGCTTCTGCATCTCGTTCTGGAAGACGACGCCGCCGATGACGACGCTGACGGCCGTGGCGAGGTTGCGAACGAAGCCGAACGTGGCCGTCGCCGTGGCGATGTCGCGGGGGTGCACGTGTGCCTGCAGCGCGATGAGCGGCGACTGGAAGTTGGGGCCCACGCCGATGCCCGCGACGATCTGGTACAGGATGATCTTGGTCCAGGACGAGTGCGCGTCGATGTTCGTGTAGAGGCCGAAGCCGAGGGTGAGGAAGACGAAGCCGAAGATGATGCAGGGAAGGTAGGCGCCGGTCTTCTTGATGACGATGCCCGTGGCGGCGGAGACGATGGAGAGGGAGAGGGCAAACGCCAGGAGGTAGACGCCGGAAAGGATGGGGCCAGCGCCGCGGACTGCTTGGTAGTAGAGGGGCAGGTAGTAGGTGGCGGAGATGAAGACGAAGCCGTGCAGGAAGCAGACGCCGAGGGAGGCGAGGTTGGAGACGTTGGAGAAGATGCGGAGAGGCATGATGGGGTACTTCGCGACCTTCCACTCGAGCGCCAGGAAGACGCCGATGGTGACGAGGCCGAAGACGATGAGGCAGACGACGGTGGGAGACGACCACGGGTGCGTGACGCCGCCGAACTCGAGACCGAGAAGCAGCATGACGGTGCCGCCGATGACGGTGAGCGAGCCGGTCCAGTCGATGGCGCGGAGGCCGGCGCCGATGGGCGTGCGCGGGTTGTGCACGTCGAGGAAGAAGCAGATGATGGCAAAAGCGAGGCCGTCGAGCGGGAGGTTGATGTAGAAGCACCAGCGCCACGACACACGCTGGGTGAGGGCACCGCCGATGACGGGGCCCAGGGCGGATGCCAGTGCCCATACCATGCCGATAATTCCGAAATACTGGCCGCGGCTGCGCATGGAGAAGAGATCGCTGATGACGATGTTGACCAGGATGATCAGCCCGCCACCGCCGACGCCCTGGATGGCGCGGGCGACGATGAGCATGCCGATGTTGACGGCCACGGCGGCGATCAGCGAGCCGATGAAGAAGACAATGTTGGCCACGAGCAGGACTGGCTTGCGGCCGAAAATGTCGGAGAGCTTGCCCCAGAGTGGCGTCGAGGCAGCAGCGGCGAGGTTAAAGGCTGAGCCGATCCAGGTGTAGCCGGCAGCTGAGTGGAAGTGGGCGCTGATTGTTGGCAGGGCGGTGGTGATGATGGTAATGTCCATTGCAGCGAGGAAGACGGCCATCTGGGAGGAGGGTTAGTCAATGATTGTTCTCTAGTCTCGTCTTCCCTCTCTTTCATGCTTTCTGGGGTTGGGTCTGCTCAAAAGTCCATTCAAGACAAGCCTCTCTCTTTCAGTCCCAGCTGCAGATCTTTACTTGCTGCTCCCCCCGTGCCTTAAGTGGTGAAGAAAAGAATAGTACGTACTCCCAGGGCAAACATGATAATGGCAATCTTGGCCTTACTCCTCTCCTTCTCGGGCTCCACGGCAGCGTCTCCAACGTTCTTCTCCTGCATCGGCGCACCAGCTTCTGCAGCGGCACCGTCCTGCGGCGCGGTTGCAGTCACGTTCTTGAGGGTAGCATCGTCGGCGGCTGAAGCGCCGATTCCAGGCTCGGAGTTAAGGTCGAGAGCGGTGGCGGATGGTACCGCATCATGGTCGTGCGGCGAGGCCATGATGGTCACTTGTTGGTCGTGTTCAGGTGGCGAAGGGTAAGAAAGCCGGCGTGGAGGACAATTTAAGGAAGCAAACGGCAGTTATGCGGCGGATGAAGCCGTGCGGGGGCTAGGACACGGACGGTGGCGCGACGCTACGGTGACGCGGCGATAAAAAAGGCCAAACACGAGGTCCGAGAACTGGCGACTATTGGGACGAGGATGCCTTCAGCACGGGCGATTTTCGATTGGGTCTCCTGGGGAATGCTGACGGGACAAAGAAAGACGGTGAAGGGGTGGCGCCAAAGGCTCGCGGTCGAGGACCCAGGGAGTGACGAGCGAGTGGCGCGAGTTCCGGTCCAGTCGTAGAGGCAGGAGGGGGGTGGTGGTGAGGGCTCAAGGGAGGAAATTATCAGATGGGAAGCTTGGGTTTTAGAGGAGCTGCACGCGGCCGAAACGCTCGACTGGCTCGACTGCCTTGCGGCGGGAAGTGGGACCCTCGGCGGTCGCCTCCGGGGTTAAGATCGACTGACGGCGGGTTCGCGGCCGGGCTCACGGGGTGACGGGCTGTCGTCGATTTGCTGGCCGCGACTGCAGCCGCAGATCGGGTGCCTTCCTGTTTGTCGCCGCGGTTAGGTAAGTGCATTGCGTGCGCGCCTGCTTCATTGCTGCTTCAGCCTCTGCTCCCCCAGCCTGTTCTGTCCGCTGGTGCCCTCGCCCTCGCCCTCGTCCTCGCCTTCGCCCTCGTCCTCGCTCTCGCTCCTCGGCCTCGGCCTTGCAAGAGAAGCGGCGAGATGGAGCAGGGATCGCTGCACGGCCTCCTCCTCATCCTTTGCTGCCTGCAGCCACCACCGCCCACGGACTTTCGGCGATAAAATCCAAGACCCAACGCCCCCGACTCCAACGGGCAAGGTGCCGACGACCGGAGATCCAGGCGCGCGGCTCATCGCGCTCCGATCTGCATGGGTTTCTTGGCCAAAAATGCACCAGTCTGAGGTCCTGTGTCGAGCACGGGTGGATACCCCCGGGGTCAAGCTTTTTTTGGCCTGTGACAAGTTTACCTCAACCACACCCCGTTTCACCTTTGGACTTCACCGTTTCCTGCCACGCGCTGACAGACAGACAGGGAGAAGAATGGCTCGGCGGCATGACCCTGCCGATTGCGTCATTAGTGCCCTTCCCTCGTCTCCCCTCACCGCCAAGCTCGCGCTTACCGGCTTGGGCCAATGGTCGGCGACATGACGGTTGTTCTGCTCCACGTCGCCAGATGAGCTTCTGCCCGACGGAATTGCGATGAGCTCGAGTTTCGTTTTGGACACCTGGTGTTTCATGCGCTGACTCGACTCGAGATGAATGGTGGTCCAAGACTGGCTGATCGCTGGTTTCATCCCTTGGTGATGTGCATGCGATCGTCACTGAGAATGCGTGCTAAATGCTCCGCATGCAGCAGAAAGACCCGTTGCGAGCCAATCGATTTCACCCAGCACCCCGTCGTCGCAATCACCCAGTTTCAAGATGGCTGAAGCTCTGTTTATAGGTTCATGCCCAGATGGACGCCTCAACTGTTGTAATACCAGGCGAGCCGACCTCCATTCAAAGCCTCGTTTATTCCAGCCAATTTCTATCGTAATCCACAATCTCTCGGTACATACAATGCCAAAGAATTTCGTATAATTCGGTGTGGTACTTTGGTCAACCCTCGATCCTCGAGAGTTGCTTGTGCAACGAACTCTCGCTGTGAACACTGGAGTCCATCAGTCTACTTAAACAATGGTGCTCGTCATGAGGAAGTATATACATGAGTGCTGTTCACACGTGGGCGGCGCAGTGTGGCAGTTTTGAAGAAAGAGTATTTTTTAGCGAGACATGGGG